AGGAGATGACAGTTGAAGTTGAGATATCGATTTTTGGAGACAACCAGGGGCTGGCGACACAGAAGCAATTAGATGAGCAGAGGCAGTAGTATTTATTTTATGCCGAGTTTTCGCTCGACACACACGTTGATAGTGACCGTTTTTTTCACACGAATGACAAACACTGTTTCTAGCCGGACAGTTATTTCGTATATGATTATCACTATTACCACAGAAAAAACATGATCCACGAGGAATTGCTGCAAGGGTTTCTTTTTCAAAAGCATCATCAGTACAGTCTAGTGCAGCAGAAGGCATAGGTTGTGAGTTAGTGAGATATGAAGCAGAATGAGCTTCAGCCAGTTCAAGAGCACGGGCTTGGTTGACTACATTGTCTAAAGTGATTGTTGTATTTTCGAGCAGACGCTCTCTAATGCGGGTATTCCGCAACCCTCTAATGAAAGCATCACGTATATACTCATTTTTATAAGTTTCAGCCGATACTTGTGTGAAGTTACAGTTTTTACTTAGTTGCTTTAAAACTTGAAGAAATTCGTTAACAGTTTCATTAGATAGTTGGTTTCTTGAGGCCAAGCAATGACGAGCGAAAATTTTATTCCTCTTTACTACGTAGAGTGCATCCAAAACAGAGATAGCGGCCGAGTAGCTGGTGGCTTCACTTATTGACTGGAAAACATTTGCTGATACATAATTAATTAGGAGTGGGAGTTTATTATCTTCATCAAGATTAGGCACCTTTGACAAAAAGTTTTCGAAAGTTTTCTTCCAATGTAGCCACTTATTTTCAGCGTTAGCACACGTGGGGTCGAAGTCGAAACGTTCCGGTTTCAGAAAGTTTTCCATGACGATGAATACCAGTACTCACATTTATCAGAATATAATTTTGCTAATTAAATTGTTGTGATAATCAATTTAGGCAGACATAATAACTTAATAAAGCTTTAATTAGCAAAATTAGGCTAGCCGCTGAGGACTACGTACTTATAAACATAAATAGTAAGACAATTGAAAATCAAGCACAGTTACAGTTAAAACAAGATGTTAATAAATATCACCACAGTCATGAATGGAAATTCAAACAGCCCGAAAGGTGTTATAATGGCCGTCTTTGGAATATCTGCTTCGTGCACTGGGATTTGTTGATAGGCTCTAATTAAATCAATGGACGAAAAAATTCTCTTTCCATGCAGAATAGAACCACAGTCAGTGAGGAATGGTAAAGGATAACGATCGGGAATGGTGATATTATTAAGGGCCCTATAGTCCCCACATGGCCTCCAATCACCTGATTTCTTTAGGGTAAGATGTAGAGGACTGGCCCAACTACTTTTGGATGGTCTGCAAGGACCTTGTTGCAACATAAAATCGAATTCAGCTTTTGCTGCTTTTAGTTTTTCTGCTGATAGCCTTCTGGCTCTGGCTNATGGCATTAATTCTAGAGAGAGCATCGGCCACAACGTTCTCTTCTCCAGCGACGTAGCGAATATCCGTTGAAAATTGAGCAATGTAACTCAATTGTCTGGCTTGTCTAGGGGAAGCTTTGTCCAGCTTTTGCTGAAAAGCGAAGATGATAGGTTTGTGGTCTGTGTAGATGGTGAAAGACCTTCCTTCCAAAATGTGTCTAAAATGCTTAATAGCAGTGTAGATTGACAACAGTTCCCTGTCATAAGCGCTGTATTTTTTCTGAGCGTCGGTTAAGGAGCGTGAAAAGAAGCTTAATGGGCGCAATTCTCTATGTTCGATTTGATGTATGACGGCCCCAATGGCTGTATCTGAAGCGTCACATGTCAGAGATATATTAGCATCAGTAGAGGGATGAACAAGCATTGTAGCATGACAAAGCGCTTCCTTGAGCTTTCTGAACGCATTGCGGGAATCTTCGGTCCATACTAGAGGTATTTTGCTATTTTTGCATTTTCCGCTGAGTAATGAGGTCAGAGGCTGCTGAAGCTTGGCGCAATTTGGGATGAAACGATGGTAAAAATTTATCATCCCTAAGAATCTGCGCAAGCTGGTGGATGATGTGGGCTCAGGTACGTTTTGTATGGCATCAACCTTCAACGGGAGAGGTCTTATTCCTTCGGTTGTTATTTCATATCCCAGATATTTAAGTTTGGAAGCTCCAAAAACACTTTTTGCAATGTTGATACATAAACCATAGTCGTTTAATCTTCGAAAAACTGCATATAAGTGTTCACGATGTGATTTTTCATCTGGCGAAGCAATTAGTATGTCATCTAAGTAGCAGAAAGTGAAATCTAATCCTGATAACACCATATTCATGAAGCGTTGAAATGATTGTGCCGCATTGCGCAAACCAAATGTCATTGTTGTGATAATCAATTTAGGCAGACATAATAACTTAATAAAGCTTTAATTAGCAAAATTAGGCTAGCCGCTGAGGACTACGTACTTATAAACATAAATAGTAAAGCAATTGAAAATCAAGCACAGTTACAGTTAAAACAAGATGTTAATAAATATCACCACATTCACCCCGAGCTATTTTAAGAGTTCAGGGAGTGACTTGAATCAGTCAGTAACAAAGTCTGAAAGATAAGCAGGTGGTCTTCGTATTCTGGATGTAGTAGGAGGCAAAGTCTCTTCCTGTTTTGGTCTCAAAAATGAGTCAGTGTTTTCCGAAGAACAGGTCTCATCAAGTGAGGATTCCAAAAGTTGATCATCAGTAGCCTCGTGGGAGCTGTCAGCAAGTGGGGTTTTTAGTAGAGGGGTTGCTAGCATATCTGCATCAAGGGCCTTTTCAGGAAGTAACCCTCTAGGAGCCAGGTGACGGACATTAACAGTAGTTTCCCTGCCGTCAGGTAACCTGACATGAGCATATCCCGGATTAGCCTCCAACAGNCTTGACATCGCCGTTGGTAATCTTTGCAGCCAGAGAGTTTTAAGAAAAGTTTCACTTACTTTATCGGAAGCCAAATTCCTCATCTCACATAATAGCTGAGAAGGTTTATTATCACCCAATTCCACTTCCGTTAATAATTTGCGGGTTTTTTGAGTTTCAGTTTCCGCGAAGATAGAAATGAGTCTGTCTTTTATGGCGATATATTTGTCATCTTTTGGTGGATCGATTAGGATATCCGACACTTGACATAGAATTTCAGCTTCAATTGAGCTAACGACATAATCATACTTTGTTTGGTCTGTCGTTATTGCAGAATTTCGAAATTGAGCTTCTAGTTGCAGGAACCATATCTTTGGATCTGGTTTCCAAAACGGTGGAACTTTGATGCTAACCCTAGCAATGGTAGATGACGAGGTGTCGCTTTTAGACTCATCTACATTTGCCATTTTCCTTTACGAAGTGATCACGTCCGGTTGTCACCAATGAAGGAGCTGTTTTAGGCTGAATAATTTTTCCTTCAATATTTTTCAATCTTTAACAAGTAAAATAAATGATGACAGGAATAAGAAAATAACACAAACAATTTATTTTACACTTTTTTGGAACAGCAACAAAAACATGATGCCACTCACCACAAAACTAATATATATATACAAGAGATTGGAAATTAAATTAAAGAGGGAACATAGAGCACGCNGAGATTTGAATATCCATTTTTTTTATGTTGTATATTTAGTAATTATGAAGTGTTTACATCCCAATCTTCATTTTCCACTTATTTATCATTTTTAAGCTCCTTAGATTTGATTTATTTTTAGAAATTTTGTATTAAACATACTCTGGCTAAAATTTATAATTATTTATAAATATTTTTGTTGATTCTTAAAGCCAATTATTATTATTTTACTTTGATTCCATTTTATGCTAGTATTAAACGAAATTCTTAATTATATCAATTTCATACAATACAATTAATACAACATATTATAAATGAGCGCAATTTTTAGCTCTAATTCTTTTTTTTAAATATCTCATAATTTATAGAGAAATTTAGTTACTTATTTCAAACAAAATGTCATTACTAAGTGAAACGCGCATAGTATATTTATTGTCTTTTTTTTTGAATTTTAAACACCAATAGTATTTGAAATGTATAAAAAATATGCACTTGAGACTCATTTAACGGAATTTATTTCCTAATGCACGCATAAATAAAATTTCGACAACGAGCAGTTTGAAGAAATCAATTAATTCACATTTTAAATGTCTTCTTAAAACTAGCTTTTTATATAAGTTGTCAAAACATTGCAAATTAGTTTTTAGACGATACAGGGTATTATGCCCATATTTAGCTTATTTGCTAATAAATAAAATTTATTACAGTAATTACTGAGAAGCTATCTACATTTTATGGATAAAATTTAATTAAAAGTAATTGAATGGCTGTTTTTTATATGAATATTAGCGACTATATGAAGCTAAAAATAAGTTTACTCAACATTTATTTGCTTATTTTTTTTAATATTTAAATGTTTGACACAAATTAAACATATTTTATTTAACTTTTATTTGTTAGCATGCCATAATTTAGATTAGATAATTCAGAATAATTTAGAATAGATAATTCAAATTTCATAAAGCCCGAAGTTTACAATCGTAATAAATTTATTAAAATAACAGTTATATTTATAATTTACCATTTATAAACTTTTTATCATGTGTTCTGGGAGAAATTCACGAAAAATGTTGGAAAAAATGTTTGAAAAATATAAATATGAATTTACAAAGACAACCCTTAGGAAAATTTGCCATAGAGCAGCC